AAGACACAGACAGAAGCAGGGAGAACGGTCTGCTGGAGTTCTCCCCACAACAAAAATAGAATTAAAAAAAAAGACCCTTTAGATCTGGTAGGACAGTTAGGAGGGACCCCCCAAGTAAAAAAAACAAATGCATGGGGTTCCCCTTAAGGTCTGGTATAGATTTTAAAGGGGGAACCCCAACACCCAAAAATGGAAAAAGAAATGTGGGATCTCCCCTAAAATTCCATACCAGACCCTTAATCCGTGCACTTGCTTGACAGGGCAGGAAAGAGGCGGGGGGTGGAGTGAGCGCCCCCCTCCCTGCTCCATGCCAGGCCACATGGCCTCGGCATTGGGAGGGTACTTTTCCATCTGGGTGCAGGAAGGTTATTCCTCGTTACAATTTTGAAGGGTCTCCAGAAGAAGTCAGACTATACTCTGGGAAACTTCTTTTACATTATGTGAGAAAAAAGAAACATACAAGGCATAACAAACACTATAGCAATGAAACACAACAAATTGTACCCCACTCACAAGAGCTTACAATCCAAATAAGAGAATGTGAGTGTATTCACCAGTCAACGTGGCCAGTTCAGATTCCAGTTCTGAGCAATGAGCTCAGTGCTCTGGCACAGCCGTTGCTGCCAAAATGACAGAAATTCCTACAGTTTCCTATGGAACTGAACGTCCCATTCAGAACTGGAGGTGACCTCATCCCAAACCAAGCACCTGGGGAGAAGAGGTGAGCAGGCCAAAAACCTGGGGTGGGGGGACGAAGCATCTAAGGTAATCTCCTAAACTCCAGCTTGCTACTGCTGTATTTAAACAAATCTATTCAAGGCGTTTACTATTAACTGCATAGAACAATTTCTCAATTCAATTTCCCAAGGTCATATACATACCCATGTACAATATCAGATGTTCAGTAAGTACCTAATTATGTGCTCCAGTTTATCCAGGGAGTCCCAGAAGTATATATCTTAATTGACTGTGACCTCTAAATTTATCTACACATTTCAATGTTTATTCCACCTGAAACCAAGTAAAAGGCCCGCTCCCCCTGGCCTGTCACTGCTAGCTCCACCCAATTGTTTTTTTTCTTTTTAAAAAAATCTTTATTTATTTTATAATTTGACAATTTGTTCACATTTTTAAGATATTTTTTTTTTTTTTTTTTACCTTCTTTTCACTGACTTATTATTCTGCTCAAGTACCGAGCAGAATAGCCGAGCCGAATGCCGCGCGGTGGCATTCGGCTATTCACTCAGGCTAGTGAGCTGCCGGAGCTTCGGCTCAGCCTATCCAGATGTTGGAACTCCTTCTGCACTTCGGCTAAGCCGAACATGCAGAGCATGATCGGCTGACCAAAGAGCAGCCGAAGGCAGCCAATGTATGGCTGATTTCAGCCGATGTACAGCTGAAATCAGCTGTACTGAGCCGGAGTGAATAGCCGAACGTAGTTTGGCTCACCACTTCGGCTGAGTTATTCACTCGGCTGCCTTCGGCAGCTTTGTGGATAACCCCTTAAATCTTTACTCCAGTTCCCTAGGCATAATGAGCACTTAACCCTTGCGGTTTAGTGGTAGCTCCACTGCCAGGGTAGCTTTTGGGTGTGCCTGGAGATAGCCTTTACAGTGAACTTGTAATTTCCCCCTCACACTCATACTGCTTATATTTATTTTTACTTTGCTGCCGGAGAGAAGATAAAAATACTGTGTATCTCCAAGTTGATCCAGTCAGAGCTTAAGCAGGGCTAAGGACTCTTTTGCTCCCACATGAAAGCGTTAAAGTGTGTTTCTACTTTTGCAGTTATTATTGAGAATCTCCCATGACATGTTTGTTATGTGTTCATATTAACACAGCATACCTAAAATTATTTTTTCAAAAATATGCCTAGCTGGTTCTTTGGAGCAGGTATATACATTGGGCTCTTTGGGTAGCTTCTGATGTTTAGATAGGATAGCCATGTGGAAATAAGTGACAGGTTTTTTTTTTTAAGTGTAAGCCTTGAGAGATTTAACCCCAGGACAGACAGACCTGCACATCTAGTTTACAACTGATGAGATCTGCCAGCACAGTACAGACAGGGTTAATTATGGTTAAAAAAAACAACTCCCCATCCCCCCCTCTTACCATTACATAAGAGTGGGAATGTAAATAAGATTTTTCAGCTAATATGTAAGCAGCAATTTTTATTTGTTTCCAGTTATGCTATGTGAATGGGAACATGTAACACCTATAAAATAGGTGTTTTCCC